GCGCAACAACCCAGAAGACAGAAATCTTCAGTCTATTATCTGACTTACAGCATACCGAAATCAACGCTCAATTCAGTGTTCCATAACGTGATGTGGTCCACGTGATGAAATAACCATTCTGGCAACCTGTCCAACTATCACGTGACTATGTTTTCCTACCTGCCATGCACTGCCAGAACAGCTGCTACTGCTATGAAGTCTTTTAACGTGTTTTACGGACGGAGTAGAATCAATCCTCATCGTGCCATCTGCCGAGGAAGTTGAGAACCACGTTGGAAAGTAAAAAGCTTCTTTTTTGCCGATTCAGGTAGCTCAGGCGATTTAGAAATTTTCTACACTCGTTTTCCTTTCATCTCCTCTACGACCTTTCTCATTGACTTTCACATTTCAGAAAGTCAAAAAGTATAGCAACTGATAATTTTGTTGAATCTTTTCTTTCTACTGCAAAGTTTGTAGAAATACTGATACAATGTTAATAATGCGATAGCATTTGCACCATGCATGCCTTGAGGTCCGCGTATCTTGAATGATACTGGAGTAAGCCTCTAAACTGAATTTTCCAAACGTGTTAACAATATACCGTAAATATGAATTCTCTCTCTTTAGTAACTGGCTAGAGATAGACTAGGTCTAATTTTAAAATTTGCTACATTACTGATTATCAACTTTTCGATATAATATACATTGGGATATTGGTTAATACTTCATTGCATTTACTAGGCGTATTCATAGCAGAAACCTATTAATGTATTAAATATAAATATTATAGCAATCCTAACTTTAAGGATTTAAGGTTTTCACTGCTACTCAGTCCCACTAAGATCAGTCTAGAAAGCGTAACCCTTCGAAGTTGAAGTTCGTCTAAATAATATTTAAGAATTCAGTCCGTACCTCAAAGAAAACTAAAACTTCACTGTTACAAATATTAACTGGTAAAATCTGTTAGGATAATAATTGTTGTTTACGCCGAGAAACATACAAAGTCCACAAATACAAAATACAGAGTAACTAATTGTTTAGGCAGGAGGTACATATAGTTACCACTGAGTTTTAGAGGGTTAAGGTTCATTTTGGACAACAGTTTTTTGTGATGGATGTGGATGAAACTGGAGGATACAACTTTAATGGTAAGTGTTAACATATATAATATTTGTTTTCTGCTATTTGACAGATAGACGTGTATGGTTTATTGGCATGAGTGAAGTCATGACGACAGAGAATATATTTCATTTGAAAATTCGAAGTAAATACTGGTAGACAGACTATTGTGAAACAATTCAGAACGTAACAAAATGTATCTTGTTCCCAGAACCTCCTAACAAATCCTGCAATAAAATTCTCAAAGTTTAATGTATTTGCTCGACTTTAGGATGAAAGTGGATTACAATTTGTAAAAAAGTCTCATATTCTCACGGCACAGAAGATGTCTTCTAGGTTGTGGAGCTGTTGGTAAATCATAGTCCGTATAAAATAAAATGGGATTCAAGCTATGAGTTTCAATAGTCCTGCTCTTATTTGGATTTCTTTTAGAAGTTCAAGATTTTATTTAGTTACAAGATTAAATGCAAAGAGTGAGGTTGGTACTATAATTGATTCACTGAAGTGATTCCATACATATTTTCATTACAGACATAAATGGTTTATAACCAACAGAATATTAGCAAATAAACTCGTGCGTAGCACAAAGCAAACAAATGATTTAGCGAACAAAATAGAAAATGTGTAACTTCTAGTTTTAAATTTCCAAATCTAAATTTTACTATTCCACTAGGTCATATCAATGAATTAAGTATTTCATTCCAATAAGTTTGAGTGTATTCTGTGTTAAAGACCGTACCATTAACAATTATAACAAACACTGTACAACTTTTGTGGCAGCCTTAAATTTACTGTGGCCAGTGACCATACTGTAACTGAACTCAATTTGGTTGTCATGAAAGCAATATAATTGCTGACAGTTTTATATACATATTGTAAAATTTGTGAATCGTAGAACTCTGAAAATGATAGTTGACATTTTTTTGTTATTTTAGCTTCAATGATGCCAAAACTGCACGTACAAACAACACAGACGGATCATGGCCAATGTTCAGGAGTCCTCATATTTGGCTGAAGCCCATGTTCATAAATCAGGAGTCGTTAGTTCAGTGACGCAGACCACCTCATGTGCTGGATCG